GTGGGCAAATTGGGGGAGCGGGAGAGGAGGGAAAGGGAAATGGGGAGTGACGCAGCCCACGTGGGCGCAGGACACAGACCAGAGCTCCAAGCTTCCTGCATTACAGAGCTACCACAGTCACAGGAGAGGGAAGAATTTGGACTGCTCGCACTCACTCCCCTTATGGCCCAAGTCCCGCCTGAGGGATCAGCATATAACATGGCTGAACCCCACCCTCATGTCAGAGTCCTTGGAGCACAAACTGAGGGAAAAAGTGTGAAAACAGCAGTTTAAGCCCTCACAGCCAAGCAGAGGATGGGAGGCATAGGCTCAGAGCCTAGCTGCCCCCTCCCCACCTTCCCAGAGCTTACCCCACCCCACCTGCCCAGTGCTAGAAGTGGAACAGTAGCAATGTCAGATCAAAAGAACAGAATACTTGCAGTTTTGACAACTGCAGCCCGCAGCCATGGACTCGTAGCCCAACTAGTTCTGGTGAAGGGGAGGGAGCCTTGGGTGCAGGACTGGCTGTGCTGGTGGCTGCCGCCGTTGCTCAGAGCCACCTCTCACAACCCACCCCACCCCTGCCCCCACCTATCTGAGCGGATCCCTGCAGGGGTAAACCGAGCCACTGAAACACACAGGCCCTGAATCTGGTGCAGGAAGAACTTTGGAACTTCAGAAGCTCTCCACATCCCCCCATGGAGGCCATGCCCTGAGACCCAGGTGGCCTGCTCACAGAGGAGAAGCCCACCTTCCAGAGAACGCTTCCATTGTGTGAGAAGCTAGAACAGTGCAGAGAAAATAAAACACTACAGTGTGAGAGAGAATAAAAGGCTGCAGTCAGAGAGAACCTAAAGCATTCTACCAACACCTTCTGGAAAGCAAAGCAAAGACCTCTTCCTATCAACCTTTTGCAGAACCCACTCCTGCAGATGCCCGGGAAGAGAAATAATAATATATTAATTGCCATGAATAACCAAGGTAACAAGGCAGCCCAGAAAGAAAATGAAAAGTCTCCAGAAAATGAATTTAAAGATATTGAAAATATGTGACTTAAATGACAGAGAATTCAAGATTGCAGCTCTGAAAATATTCAACAAGATTTTAAAAAACACAGATGGGCAGTTTAATGAACTCAGAAACACAATCAAAGAACAAAGTGAACATTTTACCAAGAGATTAAAATTTTAAAAAAGAACCAAACAGAATTTCTGGAGAATAAGAACTCAATAAAAGAAATGAAGAATAAAATAGCCAGCTTAATCTGGAGATTAAGAACTCAATAAAAGAAATGAAGAATAAAATAGCCAGCTTAAATAATAGAGCTGACCAGATGGAGGAAAGAATTAGTGACATTGAAGATAGAAATCTGGAAATGACACAGGTGGAAGAAGAGAGAGACTTGAAAGTTAAAAGAAATGAAAGAACTCTACAAGAACTTTCTGACTCCATCAGAAAGAGCAATATAAGAATAATAGGCATACCAGGAGAAGAAAGGGAGAAGGGAACAGACAGGATATTCAAATAGTTGATGAGAACTTCCCAAACTTGTGGAAATAACTGGATCCTTGAATCCAAGAAGCAAATAGAACACCTAATTACCTCAATCCCAACAGGCCTTCTCCAAGGCACATTGTACTGAAGCTGTCAAAAATTAACCACAAAGATTGAATCCTCAAGGCAGCCAGGGAACAGAAGACGGTAACCTACAAAGGAAAGCTCATTTGATCATCATCAGATTTTTCAGCAGAAACTCTACAAGCCAGGATGAAATGGAATCAAATATTTGAACTATTGAAAGAGAGAAATTATGAGCCAAGGATAGTATATCCAGCAAAGATATCCTTCAGATATGAAGGAGGAATAAAAACGTTTCCAGACATACAGAAGCTGAGGGAATTTTCTAACATCTGAAATGCACTACAAGAAATACTGAAAGAGGCTATTTGACCTGAAACAAAAAAGCA